GGTCTACAAATGCGGCCTCAGGAGGATGCAGCCCATGAATTTGGACACGACCAGGGAGATCATACACAGGTGGGGGACACAGCTGGGAGTGATTAACGTGACGAGACTAGGGAGGCAAACTGAAAACACTCACATAAGACGCAGACCTTCAAAATAAAACAGGAAACACATACACGCAATGACACAACACAAAAACTTCACACAGACTGGGGAACACATAGGAACATGAAAACAAAACCCAGAATAATAATAACTACTAAAACATAAACACGGAGTCACAAACTCCGGATCATGACAATAACCACGTTTTCAGCGAGTGCTAAGATCCCATTACAGCAAAAAAATGATGACTAACTTTGACTAACATCCCTTAGCTGATGTCTATTTTCTTATCTTTACACCAAATGGTTCAACTCGCTTTTAGGACTCATGTTTCTGAAGGGAAAAGTTAAGTTAAGGTACGTATTATAATATGCTATTTTTCCCAGTATCAAGTTATTTCATGCTATTTTATGATCGTTTTTCAAGTAACTAAGAGAACAGGTCATAAATAGATCATGTTTGTGCTATGTGGAAAGCTATAATCAGCAACAGTAATGACTGAAGTTCTTCTTTCCTGTTCCCCTGTCCTCATCCCCAATCGCTTGGGCAGATGCTTCCTCCAGTCTAAGCTGCTGGAGGCTTCTTCCTGTTAAAACGACATTTTTCCTTCCCACTGTCAACAAGTGCTTGCTTATTCGGGGTTGTTTGATAGTTGGGAATGTACAAAGCATTTTCTTTATTTTAGTCTTTTTTTGGCACTGTTGAGTTTTATAACTGTGAACTGTTACTCGAGATCAGTCTCAAATTCTGGATAGTGTACCAAGCAAGACTTACTGAGTAACTTTACATGCCCAGCTGTCCATATTTAATCTTTTTAAATCATATTTAATCAAGTCTATAAACTTGATCGGATCTTCAGAGAGAAAATATAAATATTTTTAAATATATTTCTAAATATTTTTCTCCAGCTCATATCAGTGTACCTGTAATATGCTGGACTTTGCATAATTTATAATGCTCCACATAATTTATGATGCTCCGGTACATATTTATGTACTCAGCCCAACTGTGCGCGTTCTTATTTCTGTCAGTGCGCATTCAGCTGGCATCATGTTCACTGTGAGTGCATCTCTGCAAAAACAGAGCAACAGTTCATCAATACCGTTGGGCATAGTTTTTACCTGAAACTGTTTGTTTACCTTATTTACCTTATGCAGGTGTATTTGGATTGTTTTTTTCTTTTTCTTTTTCCTGGTCTGGGAAAATCTGCTGTGCAATTGTTCAGAGAGCTCTCTAATCCAGCCTTTGATCTGAGTTGTGCAGTGAAGCCTAATAGGATCGTAGTATTAACCCCGATGACAATACCACCAGCTGTCGCAGAGCCCCCTGTTGGTCACCAGCTGAAATGTGCCTGTGGGGGAAGGGGAAGGAGGGTGGAGGGGTTGACTGACAGAGAAAGAGACAGAAACAGATTGACAGGGATCGGGAGAGAGGATCTGTGTGATGCTCAAAGTGAAGTAACAGAGGAAGAAGCTCAGAGGAGAAAAACTCCTGAAGTGCTTTATTTTTGGACGACTACCTCTTCAATTTTACTTTGAATCCTCCTCCATTAGCTAAATGACTTTTCTTCGCGCGTAATCTTTGACTTTTTTTTATTTTTTTCCTTAAAAGCATACTTTTTCACTTATCAATCTCTACATTTATTCCCTTTTTTCCCCTCCCACCTGCTGCGGCCACACCCTGATATTTTTCCAGTGCTGTGGCAGCTGTTGGCTCTCTGATTTCTTGATATGGCTAAATAAGAGGTGGAAGGGTGGGGGGCTTGCCGGTGGTTTTCTTTGAGGGTTGAGAAGTTGAAGAGGGAACCAGGAGAAGAGGAGGAGGATGGCGGTGGCTCTGGAAGAAGTTTGGGGGCGAGTGAAAAATGTCTGCAAGCAGAACGGACTGCTCATTCTGTCTGTGCTGGCCGTGGTCATCGGCTGCCTGTTGGGCTTCTTCCTCAGGGGCAAGCAGCTCTCCGAGCAGGTCAGTTAGTCCCCCTACTCCCACCCCCAGCACCCAATATAAATGCGCTACCCTGCTGGCCCCCTTCTGTCTTATCTCCCCCCTCATTGTCAGCCCCTGGATCCTTCTTATGTGATAAAATCAGATCCTCACTCTCCAGTATCAGCCTCTTTAACTCCACTCCATGTCATAACCACCAGCACTTACATAAACATGCGAAAAGAAAAACAGTGACAGCGTTCTACTGAGAAACAATTAGACTCTTGGGCTTGGCCATATCTACTGCACACCTAACCCCAACCCTAAACCAGACTTAAGCCACAAATTAAATGCAGATTCCTGTTCCCAAATGCATACAAAGCAATCAACTACACATTCATTGTCATTCTGTCACCTTCATTAAATATACTTTTCATCACCAATTCTGCCCACTGAAGTCAGAGCTGCACTGTAATGAATACTAAAGTATGTCTCAGATGTCTCAGTACAGACGAATCCAACTCCAGTGGCTTATGCGAGGTTTTGCTCTCAAGCTGCAATTGCAAAAGAGAGGCCAAAATACGACATGAAAAGGCCTCAGAGGTGACAGTATATATATATTTTTTAAAACTCAGTCAAAGTGGTTTGATTGCTCCTAGAAAAGCATCAAAGGTCAGACTCATTCACGATCCAATCTATAAGCTATAGCAGGGACACTGAAATAGCAAAGGACTTTCCAAAGATGAGGGAATTGTATTTCTCCCTGTTTAAAATGTGAAACAGGGCTTTTCAGATCGTCTATGGCCTGTGTGAATCCATAGAAAAGGGATTGCTGGTGGGGAGATTAGTTGTCAGTCGCTCGCAGAAAAACGAAATCACATCAAGGCATGCCATTTGTTTTTACTTATATAAGTCACACAAGACTGAATGGGAAGAGATCTTCAATAGTCGGAATTCAGGAGATGCTAAGAGGCTGCTGAGAAAGCATGTCTAAACTAAATGTAACTGAAAAATGACTTTGATGTGCTTGAAACAGAATTTTAAAAAAAAAAAAAGTGAGTTGTTTGAAAATGAATGATGAGGACGTAGATGTGTGTGTGTGCTGTTGGATATATGATGAAATATGTTGACACTGTGGGCATTTGAACATCCGCCTGCTGTCAGAGTCAGCCGTACGACATCCCGGTGCTTTTGTTTTGATCCATGTGGTGCAAAAAAAACCAAAGCTGTGCTTTGATGACAGCATCAGTCATCTGTTTTATATATAGCACACAAAGCTTGAAAAGGTCCATACGTAGAATACCTTACTCTAGAATGGGCCACTCTTATTTGGCAATAGCCCACAGCAGGCACTCAGAATCCAAAGCAGTGCTAAGGTTTATGGCACATGTCCACCAGCAGGCGATCCAGTGAACTAAAGTGTTCAGGTTAGGACACTAAATTCTCCGAGTCCCACTGTGAGTAAATGCGTGTCCTCTTTCTTCAACTGCTGTCTATTAAGGGTTGCTGAAGACACTGAAGTCATAAGTCAGCTGGCAACTATAGTGCTGTATAGTCCGTAGATCCTTGAGACTATTTGGTAGCCACATCAAAATTCTTCATAAATAAATGGAAGTAAATGAAAATAGAGAATCAGTTCAGATCATTCATAAGGTAATAGTTATTTTTATCTTTCCCAAAATTATGAAGTTGCCTTTACCTGGCAACAGTTGATTGCTGACAGTGTTGCCATACAGTAGTACACAAGTTGTCACATTAGTACAGTATGTAGTGATGGAAATTTACAGTAAATAAAGTCACGCAAAAATAACTCTACTTAAAGTCTAGTTAATATTTATGGTCTGAATTATGGTCTCGTGGAGCTTATGCCAGCTGTCATAGAGTGTGAGGCAGCATACTGTCTGCACAGGATTGCAGTCCTGTCAAGGGCAGGGCTCATTTTCTTTAAAGAAAAATCGTTTCTGTCAGATAAAAAGCCAAAAGATCACCAGTGTCAGTTGGCTACACCCTCTGAGCATCATGACTGAACAACATTTTATGACAGTTCATCTTAGAGTCTTTGAAATCCTGAGACAGTGTTTGACTTGAGAAATAAAAATGTTGACAAATGCTCAAAAAAAAGAACGAAATCGCACTGCAATCTAGTCTGGCGTAATAGTAGTCAAGAAAAGCTGCACTGTTACACACAAATGTGACATGTCTCGTTCTACACACTGTATTGCAAGTTGCAATTTTGCTTTTAGTATTTCTGCTTGCTGATTGCCCAGCTCAGCATCCTGACACAGGGAGGAAGAATATGATGTCTACGCTTGCTATAAGTTAATATTTGAAATAGTTGATTTGCTTATTTAACTCTAGCTCAAGTAAAGAGGCAGAGCAAATTAATTCGCTGATAAACGACACTAAACAGTTCAGTCTTTGTGGGTTAAAATAATGGGAATTGTGTAAAACAAATAATATGAAATAAAATAAATAAATAAACCTTTACCAAATACAGTGAAGCAACAGAAGAAATGACATTTACAAAATATCACTGAAAATTAAACAGTAGGAAGATGTATACACCCATTCACACACCCACATGTATCACATGTGAGTGTGTGAATGTGTGTGTGAATGGGTGGGTGACTGGATGTGTAAAGCGCTTTGGGGTCCTTAGGGACTAGTAAAGCGCTATACAAATACAGGCCATTTACCATTTACCATGTAAGGAAATGTATTAATGGTGCAGATTAAAGGTTTGAGTGGTATTGCCGTTTAAAATGTAATTTTAATTAGAAGTTGTGGCTCACAGAAATGTCAAAAATAAATTACAACATGTCACAAAAACAGCTCTGTGCACACTGTAAGAGCACTCAAAGGCTGATTGTTTCCCAGATGGTCTGTAACCCTGCACCTCTGTGAGCACAGAGAATATTTAACATGCACTAATTGCACACGTTGTAGAAAGCTACTGTTGCAGAGCGATTCAGCTGCCCAGCTGCAATTTAGAAACACAATAGTTTGCCATAAAACAATCAACATCAAGACAAGGCTTTGACAAAAGCTTTGATGCAAGTGTTGATCATCGGGCTTCGTGGCTTAATCTTTGGGTTTGCATACAAACAAGCATATACGTATGCCAGCCCGTGGCTTCAGCGTGTGTGTCCGCAAGTACCACATGTCTAACAAAGAGTTTGCTCTGCTTTCAGCAGATGCCAGGACTCAGTGGCAGCTGTGTTTGTCCCTCACACGCAATAAAAAGTCTCACACACATGCACATAAACGTGCGTGCGTGTACATACTGCGTCCGCCCACACTGTTACACACACACGCGCACACGCATGGCCATTTAGCCGTAAAAGCTCTCCCACTTAAAAACAGAAGCAAAAAGCTTCTATTGCTCCATCATCTCATGCACAGATGTGATGTACTTACATTTCATTTGTTCCAACTCTTCACCTCCGTTTTGCCACATGCCCCCACCCCCCCTCCCCCACCTCCCATCTGTTTGACCTGCTGATTAGGTAATCAGTTAAGTGCAATGTTTTTTGTGGGAGCTCTTCTGTAAATGCTGTTGATCGCAGTGATATCAACCAAAACAATGTTTCTGACATATCTGACTAATAAGTGATAGATTAACTGTAGGTATGAAAAGTCATCGCTGACATATTTATGTTAACATCAATGTACCCCTTTTTTCCAACAGATTTTCTAGTTGTCACATAAGATTTTTTTAGGTTTCCACCTGTGTAGTTGAAACTAGTACAATATTAGTGTGAAAAACACCTGATGAGCTCCTGGTTTCTTTGCAGAGCTGCAACTTGACTTTTAAAAACACTTTTTTTTTGTATTTATTCTAACATGTTATTATACAGTAATCTTACTTTGAACACTGTGAAGTATTTGAACACCTGCTTTGCTTTAGGGGATTCAGACACTTCAAATCTATCTAGTCTATTCAGACTGTTCATGCTTTTTGTCACTGCTTCAAAGTTTCTTGACATTTGCTTTTAAAGACTTTGTCACAGTGTGTGGAAGCAGATTGTGTGGAACGTGAATAATGGACCCAAACGCAGACACAATGGAACGTGGAACGTTTTTTTTTTTAAAAAAAGGTTTAATAAGGCTGATAAAAAAAAGGTGCAAACAAAGGCCAAGGCAAACTGATGCAAAACTAAACATTAAACTAAATTGGGTGAACTAAAATACAACATGAAGAACCCTGACATGGATATGAACAAACCTGGACATGTATACATGAGACCTGGAAACATGGTGTGAAGGGGAAGTGGGAA